CAGCTGTTACTTCTTCTCAATACTGATATAAAATAAAAATCTTTATTATTTATTTACCCTTTATTGTTTCATTAAACTTCATTTATTTTATATTATAGTTTTATTCTTTTAGCTACTTGTAAAATAATCTAATTTTATATCATCATTTTACCGGATTATTCTTCAGTACATCGATTGTGTATCTAAAATAATATCATTATCCTTATTCTGTTTTTTCCAAAATTCTTTTAAATATCTTTTTTGGTTAGATTACTTTATACTTTTTACTTTTATTTTTTAATTTCAAAAAAAATTTGGTGATTGTTCTATTCTGTTACAATGTGCATTATCATATTCTAATGAATTATTCATTACATACATTTAAAAAAACTTGTTAAAAATGAAATTAAAAAATTATGTTTATTATTACGCTGTGAATGTGTCAACAGCGGTCATGCCTGTATCTGTATCCCATATTTGCCGCAACCTTTCTGTATCTGCATTTGTGTATTTCGGTTTCAGCTGATACATTTGATTTGGCGTGTAATTTGTTCCAGTTAATGGATTAATTGGGAGATCTTCATGCGTGTGTTATTATTGTACTCCCAAATAAAGGCAGGAATAGCCTGAATGCTTTGGCAGCGCTCCAATGTCGGCCAGAATCTCTCAATCTTCCCATTTTGGTAGGGAGAATGAGAGTCTGTATGCCGCCATTGGACGCCCCAAAGATCAAGTAGATCTTGAAAGGCGCCCCTATTTTCTGAACCGTTGTCGGTCCAGAAACAATAAGGGGCGCCAAATTCAATGAAGGCGGAAGCCGCAACGTTCGCTGTATTCGCTGCCAGCATATCTGGTATTTGTATACACGCTAGGACTTTGCGGCTAAAATCGTCGATTATGCCATAAATATACTGGCCACGAACACCCCTAAAATAATGAACATATGCGTGCCAGATAAGATTGGGTGAAAGCGCCCAATATCTTACTGCTGTTTCTGGCCCGGCATGCTCTAATCGCGTCTTGGTGAAATGATTTTCTTTGAAGTATCTGCGTACTTCTCTATAAGATACATCAATTTGTTGTAATTTCAAACGTTTCCATTGTTTTGTTTGACCACAGGGAAAGGCCCAGTGGTCATGTATCACAGCAAGAGCTTTGATTTGGTCGTAGGGATTGACCCTACGACCTTTCTTGCCTTTAGGCAATGGGATATTCTGTAAGCTAAATTGATTTTGTAAAAAAGATTTTGAAACATCTAAATATTTGAAATCATTTGATTGAAGGGTTGGGGCGATGGGAACATGGGTGCAAGCTTCTTCCCATGTCATTTTACCTTCTTCAATCTGATTGGAAATACCAATTAGGTAAATTCGATCGACATACCCTTTGTAAGGATTCATTCTAATGAAGTACGTTAACAATCAAAATATTCTATAAGTGTCTAGTATGGAATTCAAAAGAATAAAGAAAATGGTAAAGTAAATAAACGTATTATGAAATAATTTATAATTAAAATGAAAAAAAGAAAAAATAATAAGTAAAGTGACTGGAAATGAAAATTAAAATCAGTGTACAGTTTTATTTTTTTCTCGCTGTGAAACGTATTCGGTCATTTTTTTAAAAATTAATTTTTTGTTAGAGATAAGAGCTAAAACTCGGTAAACAACTTCTTTATGTCTAGAAAATTCTATCTTGCCTTTTATTTTTTTCTCGCTGTGAAACGTATTCGGTCATTTTTTAAAAAATTAATTTTTTGTTAGAGATAAGAGCTAAAACTTTGCAGACAACTCCCCCATGTCTAGCAAATTTAACATTCGTCTCCCATTTTTATATATTTGGTTTAGAATGTTCGAAAATGCGTAATATGGTCATTAATATTAATTGAAAAGAACCTTGAATTAATTCAATCTGATCTCACAAAATATTTTAAATTACAAACTTTGTAGTTTGAATAGATAATTAGTAGTAAACTCAAATAACTAGTTTATTTTTGAATAAAAATTATTTGAATTTATTCAATTTTGTGAATTTTCCTTCAAAAATCAAGTTTAAATATCTTATTTGCCATATAATTATAAATACAATGAAACATATTCGAAATTGAAAAGAATGACTTTTTCTGTTCTTTCAATCATTCAATTTGAATTTTGCAATATTGGATTTCTCATTAAATAGCTATTAAAAACAACAAGCAATTTAACTTACATTCAAATTTATTTGTGTTATATTCAATCTTCTCAAAACTTATAATTTTCGGCTATAGCATGATTATATGCTATATAATATAATAAACCTATAATAGTATCATTCTTTCAATTATTTGAAGAGAAAACCGAAAAAATCTATTTTCGGTCTATAACATAATAATTCCAAAAATCGATAAAGACTAAAAAAAGTCTTCTCAAACTCTATTTTTAATTATTTTTTAGATATATCTCAAGTGTGATTATTTAAAAACTCATATAGACTATATTTATTTTTTTCATTCAAAAAATTATATGAGAATCTCAAATTAACTTTCAAATTTTTTATTTTAAAAACATATTAATAATCATATTTTAAGATACTTTTTCGCCCAAAAAATAATCCTACTTCCTCGACGATTAATAGGATCTCAATTTCTATCTTTGACACTACTTAGCATGCAACAATCCAACAGCCACAAAACATTTTTGTCAGATTTTCAATATTTAAATAAAGGCAAAACTACAATTCGATTAATGAATGATTTTCTAATCCCCAAAAATATTATATGTTCTTATCCAAATTCAATGAAGTCTGCTATATGTAGTATTAGAAGCTCATGTTAGTAAATTTTGTCACAATTTTGCAAATTTATGAAATATTATTATTTATTATATTGTTAAATATATTTCCAAAAATGATTCCACGAAAATTTTTGTCAAAGTTCTCAATTTTTAATTTATCGTCTTAACATTAACATTATTTTATTAAGACAGTCTGGCGGTTTCTCGCGTGTTATGATCTGGCTGGCGTGTTAAGACGATAAATCTAAATTGAGAAAACCTCTTAAAAGATCGAATTTTTTTAATTGAAAATATGTCAATTATCTACTAAATGCTTATATGTGCGTAAATTAAGGAATAGGAGATTCCGATAAATCTCACCTTATTTTTAAATTTAAGAGTACTTTCAAAATTGTGAAAACATATTGAAAAATAGAATCTAAATTTTTTAACAATATAATATTTAATTCTTCTTAAACTCTATACGAATATTAAATCCCATAATTTTTTTTATTTCAAAAAGCAATTGAGAAGTTTTGAGAGTATTATTTTTGTCAATTTCTAAAGATTTTGGGAGATGTCATCTGTACGGGATGACAATCCATGGGATTCTTACTATGATAGTCAGTTTACAGGTAGTGCTATCAAGTATTGCACAAATTGTGATATTCAAACAGGGAAAAACCAATATTTTTTAAAGGAATGCAAATTTTATGGAATTACCAACAGAGTTATTAATTTTAATTCTATGATTAACACATTATTCTTACATAATTTATGCACTTTTGACAATTGCAGTTCATCTCAAGATGGAGCTTGCATTAAATACTATAGCGGAGGGCAAAGTTCAATTGTCCAACGCAAATTTTGTTGTATGAAATGTCAATGTCAGGTATATGGACATTTTTCAATGACATATCTTCAACCAGACGATTTAAATTATTTCATTGAAGGTTGCCTTGCTGATGTTGGTAACGAAGTTGGAGAAATATCTCTTGATGCAGAAACAGGTAATAAAGTAGTTTCATCTTTCAATTTTTCGACATGTATAAGTTCAACTCGTCCAGCTGGGTATTTTAGTGATGTATATAGTAATTACCTAGTAAAATATAACTACTCAACTATTGTTAATAATAAAGCAACAGCGAGTCTTGGCTCAATTTTAGAAATTTGGTTTAATGCGTTGATTGATTCATGTAATATAATAAATAATACTATGACACAATCAACAACAGGATTAATTTATCACTTGCATGATTCAATGACAATTGAAGGGTGTTCATTTATCAATAATCGTGGTCCTACAAATTCATATTTGATACAAAATGATGATGAAACGATAATGAATAAATGCTATATTGATGATTCTTTTCCAAACACATTCTCTGATAGTTTAAAAGCTACAACCAGCAATTCAAGAACAGAATTTACAAATAATTTGACCTACTTTTGTAATCATTATTCAAATTTAAATAATCGGAAAAGAGAAAATGCGGCCAATAAACCTGCCGGTTTCTCCAAAATATTCCTACTCGAACGTATACCATGTTTCATAATCAAGATGTGATTAAACTCTACATTCTACGTATCAATAATATCTTTTTCATCATGAGACTTATAAAAAAATCTTATAAAGCTGAATCAGACACATAATTTGAGTTACTAATATAGCAATATGAATTCATCTTGCAGCATCAATGATTATGAATGCTTACATCATTCAAGATGGACCAACAGAGATTCGATATTTAAGGCTCCAATGTAACGATAAAGGATATTTAATTTTTGAGTAATCCTTTTCCAATGCACAAATGAGTGGTGAATGTCCAATATTTTTCTTTGATTCATTCATATCTCCAATTGAGAAATAATATGCGATAACTTCAAAAACTTCATATTCTCATGCGTCATGTGACAAGTGGAGATGCATTAAAGAGTCTTAAATTTCATTTATCACATAATTCATGAAATACATTTCCCCATTCACGAGTTATCCTTTTTCTCATAATACTGTTATTCTATTTATTTTCCTGGAACAATAGATTGAACAGTATGCTAATGAAAATTAAGAGAATCTTTGAAGAATGGTCTATATCAAATTGAACGCTATCATTAGATTGATAATAACTGTTCAATTTGATTGTCATTGTCAAATTAATTGAAAATCATATTTTTTATTTACAAATTAACAATTTATTAAATAATAGTTTTATTGACCATCAACAAGCAAGTTCTTCTGGATTGTTGAAGAGTCTGTTTCTTCCATAGCCTTCTTCATATCTTTGACGGCTTTCTTCTCTTTAAATATACCATAAACATAGAAAACAATAGCAAACAAAAACAGTTACACAAGTAATGATAATTATAGTGTGTTTTACCAAGAGGAGGTCTGTACACGCTAGAATTCTGGAATGCCCTCATTCTTATCAGTTTAATTGGATCTGGACAAGTGATATTGAAATTATCAAAATTCAGAACTTCATTTTCATAATTACATTGCTTGGTTACGTTTCCTATAGTTACAAACAAATTAGTTTCATTCTCTATCTCTGTTTTATAACACATTGGAGTGATATTATTCTTCATAAAACAGAAAGAGTCTTTTCCATATGTTTCTCCTTCATAAACAATGTTGGAATTAACATCCTTGCAATTTCTACTCATTACCGGAAAAATTGTAAAGTCGACGATAGAATAAACACCTCTCTTTGAAAAATTGAGAGGGTTGTAGAAATTCATGGCTTTACAATAATTTTTTTCATCGGTAGTATAGCCCGGGCAGTCATAATACATAGAGGAAGAGCATTCTCCGATGTAGGTATAGTCATATGAACATTTGTCGTCGTTTGATTCGTTCTCATTGCACAAATAATTTTTCGGAAATGCGGTGTAAGGAGGATCTACCGGGAAATTCGGAAGCTTAGTACCATTTATAGAGTCGCCATCGCCCCAGGCAAGCAGTTCTGCCATATCATAATTACAATCGTACCATCCTGTATCTTCTAGCATCGCTAAGGTCAAATCTGATATCTTTGCAGGCTGAATAGAAAGTCCTACCATCAATTCATTGAAGAAAACTCGGGCTTCAGGGTGAGATTTTTCTGTTCCGAGTCCTCCTCCATCTTCGAGCTCAACACCCATTGGAACTCCATCTATAAACTCTGTTCTGTTCCACCTTTTCGTAGCATACTTAACACATTGAGGTGTTTGTAATAATGTGAAAATTTTTCCATCTTTTTCGATTGTTGTCATTGGAATCTTTGATCCCCAGCTGTTTCCTGTCTTTCTGTTCAGCCAGTATGGATATAAGTCTCTGTTGATGCCTAAAATATGACAAATTTCGTGTAAACAAGTTGTAAAGAATTTTCGATTGATAGAGGTTTCATTTTGAGGTTCTGATGGTACTTTCTGCGCGTTTATGTAGATTCCACCTCGAATTGGTCTATTATCGAAAAATGACAAAGAATCTGGAAATGCTGATGCGAGTGTACTTGAATAGTAACCGAATGGACGTGTAGATACTGCAACATATAAATCTATATCATATGATTTTGATTTGACTGTAATATCACCGACGTTTTTAGATTTGATAGGAAATGTACTATTTAGTAATTGCACTTCAGAAGAAGATGGAAGTTGCATTTACTACAAAATTGGCAGCAATAGTTCGATTGTTCAACGAAAGTTCTGTTGTACGAAATGTCAAAGCTCTAAATTTGGCCAATTCTCATATACAAAAGTTGATATAAATAACTTAAACTTTTTTATTGAAAGTTCCCTTTTCGATGTAGGAAATGAAGATGTTGGTAATGAAGTAATTCATGCAGAAGAAGGTAATATCATAGTTTCATCAACAAATTTCTCATCAAATAAAGCTCCAAAAGAGCCTGTTGGATATTTTGAAAAATCTTCAGACTTTATAACAACATTTAATTATTCGACTGTTGTTAATAATTTAGTAACAGGTAAATATGGAGCCATAATATATTTTCGTTTTAACTCTTTGATTGATTCATGTAATATTATAAATAATACTAATAACCAATCAAGATTAGGAATTATTTTCCATTATAAAAATTCTCTTACTGTAAAAAGTTGTTCTTTTATTAACAACACTGCTCCTGAAGATTCATGTTTGATATATAACGCTCTAGATCAATTAACAGTTGATAGTTGTTACATTGACAATTCGATTTCATCAACATTTTTTAGAAATACAGAACTTAATCATCCAAGAGAACTATTCACTAACAATTTGATTCATCTTTCAACTGGTAATTGCCAAGCAGAATTTGCAATTATCAATAAAAGTATTTCTAAAGTTAATAAACTTTCTCTTTTCTTCATTTCTTTACTAAACATTAAAAAATCTTCATAATTTGGTTGGACTTCGAGATAATTGTTCATTTTGATTAAGTCTTTGATATATTCTTCATCATTTCGATATGATGTGAAAAGTATGACATTGTCTTGCCACATAATAACAGTTTTGCATCCTTGTGATGAAATATCAAGAAATGCAGATTCACGTGCGAAATATTTAAGTAGTTTTCCTTGATTCAGATCGATGATTATTGTTGCAGAGTTTTGACCTGAAGAGATCAAAAATGGATAACAAAATGTTAAATATGATAAATTGATGTCTATTTTATCTGGGATATCTGAAGGTTTTCCGTTTTCGAATATCGGAAGTTGTGCTCTTACTTTTCCTTGTTGTGTCGCAAGTAATAGTTTTCCATCTGGGCTTAAAAAACATCCTACACAAAACTTATGATATATTAATGTATATACTGTATTTTGTAGGTTTTCTATTAATTTTTATGATTATATGAACATTGTTGAATAAAAATCGAACATGTGATCAGATTTTCATTCAAAATTTAAGGTTTTGTAAAGTTAATAAAAAGTCGTCTTGTTTAGAAAGAATTCTATGGAGTAGATATTTTAACGATCAGTTTGAAGGTTTTTATATCAAGAGCTGTACCAACTGTAATTTAGCCTCAAGTGATTGCAATTTTTATGATGATAATGATCAGGTTATCAAATTTAATATAATATACAATTTTTTATTACTGCATAATCGATGTTCTTTTAGTAATTGTACTTCATTTCTTTACTCATCAAATAAGTCTTCATAGAATATCTTAATAACATTTAATTATTCAACTGTTGTTGATAATTTAGCAACAGGTCCAAATGATAATTATAAATTGTTAATCGATTCATGTAATATTATTAATAATAACAATATGAAATCAACAAAAGGAATTATTTACCATGATACTAATTCTCTTACTGTAAAATGTTGTTCTTTTATTAACAATAAAACACCTAAAGGTTCATATTTGATATATATCTACTATAGTCAATTAACAATTGATAATTGTTATATTGACAATTCGATTACAGATCTATTTAATATAAATGTTGAACCTAATAAATCAAGAACATTTTTTACTAATAAATTAATTCATCTTTCAACTTTTCATTGTCAAGCCGAATTTGTCATTCGAGATAAAACCATTGATATTGATAACAAACTTCCTCTAATCATCATTTCTTTAGCAAATATTTTAAATTCATAATAATTTAAAAAGTAAATGATGAGATACATATATAATATATAGAATAAAAGAGAAGAGTATAAAATGTATTTTATAATATTATTTTATTTCAAAATAACAGAATAGCATAGAGGACAGTATCGAGTATGAAGACATTTAGCATGGAAAATGTGACCACATGGAAAAGCCGAGACAACTGAAGATTCGAGTTTCAATGGCATCCCGCAAATCTGGCATTCGTGAAGTTCTGATGTGACTCCCCAGTTACCACATCCTTCATTCAAATGCTGCTTTTTTGCATCGGTTGCCCATGCAGGAAGTGCTTTAGACCCTTTCGTAAGGAAGTACTTTTCTGTCAGTTGGTGAAGTTCATCAACCGCATTGACAACTTCTTCTTCCCAGTCGTTCAGTGACATGATTCGCAATATCTCTGTTGGATCTTCTGTTTCGCCAATATCATCAATCAAATCATTCGTTAGACTATCGGTAAACTTAATATCTTGAAAAAATTTTTCAAATGAAGAAGAGCGTGTCATTTTATCATTGTTAGCATATTGAGAGAACTGGTCAACAAGAGACATTCGAGAAATGTATTCATCGCGAACCATAAGATTGACATTGTATTCGTGGATCGGAGGAGAGTTTGCAACTAGAACGTTGACAGGAAGACCATCGACACGAGAAAGAAGAGATGCGTATTGACTAACACCATATGGTGACATTTCCATAGCATATTTTGCTGTTTCACTCCGTTCATTAAGAATAGGAATCAAATGATCGACATTGATGATAGATTTCCATTCTTCCCACTCTGATGGATGTTTCAAGATGTATTGCTCAATCTTCGTTTGAAGTTCATCGTCGACTTTGATACTTTTCAAAACTTGTTTCAGTTCGTCGACTGTTTCTGTTGTTGGAATATCACTTTCCATAAGTTTATAATATAAATCTGGATGCGTTTCTTTGAGTGGACCTGGTTCGTGGAGTTGTTTAACACGAGAGATATAATCAATAAATGATTTTTGATTTTCAATTGGTAAATTTTGATCGATGTAACTCTCTAATAATTCGACATCATCGATCTTGGATTCGATACAAACACGTTGGACTTCGAGATAATTGTTCATTTTGATTAAGTCTTTGATATATTCTTCATCATTTCGATATGATGTGAAAAGTATGACATTGTCTTGCCACATAATAACAGTTTTGCATCCTTGTGATGAAATATCAAGAAATGCAGATTCACGTGCGAAATATTTAAGTAGTTTTCCTTGATTCAGATCGATGATTATTGTTGCAGAGTTTTGACCTGAAGAGATCAAAAATGGATAACAAAATGTCAAATATGATAAATTGATGTCTATTTTATCTGGGATATCTGAAGGTTTTCCGTTTTCGAATATCGGAAGTTGTGCTCTTACTTTTCCTTGTTGTGTCGCAAGTAATAGTTTACCATCTGGACGTGAAAAACAAATAGCGTTGAAATTATCTTCAACATACAGACCACCGAACTTACCATTAGGACGCTTAGATCGGATTGCTGTGACTTCGAAGTTTTGTGACATGAAATAAACACCATTGATAGAGTTTATAAGTAATGTTTTTTCAACGAGTGAGATCTGGAAAATTGGTGAATTAACGGTTGCAACTGATAAACATGATGTGCGTGTGATTGCATATATATTACCTTGTCGATCGCCAATATAAAGGAAACAAGAATTTCGATCAAGAACATTTGGAGGATCTGTGATCCAACATGAATCTTCGAATATGTTAGTACCGATGTCATATTTGATAAGAATACTTGGTTTGTTTTCTGGATTTTCGATGATTGAAATTTTATTTTCTTCACAAACGAGTAAATAGTTTCCGCTTGGAGAAAATTCGAGAGATTTTAACGATGTTGATATTTGTGATTCTGATATAATACTCGAAAATCTTTGATTTGAAATACTGAAGAGGTGAATACTTCCTGTTGATGTTCCAAACGCAATTAAATCATCATATATTGCGCAGCATGTGAATTTAAACTTACTTGCTCGTTGTTGAATTGAATCGAGTTCTGTGATAATATAACGCGACATGGAAACACTGGACTCAACTGAACTCTTATATGACAAACTTTAATCTACACACAATATAGATCATACTTTAGCCTAGAAATTGTTCATAATTATCAAAAAAATTCTTTTTATTTTTAATTCATTGCAATACATGTTACACGAAGGAATCCTATTATTATATTTCGAAATATTGATGAAATTACATTCAATAATAGGGATATCTTATAAATTCACAATATTCATACTGAAATTTAGCTAATATTCGACCCAAAACAAAATATTTCTTCATTTTAAATACTAGATTATTATAATATAAGTAGAAATCAGAAATCAAAGAATTTTGAAAAAAATTGAAAACCAAAATCTCGATATTATCCGTTGATTTTTAATAGTTCGGTATTTCAGATGAAATCAATCAGAAATGCATCAGATTGAAAATAAGATGAACGGTTCGACCAAATAGCAAAATTTCAATGTTTTCTTTCTTTTTAGCTACACTCTCCTTCAGCAAGGAAGAGGAGGACAAAGATCAAGGTCCTGTTGTAGGTATTGATCTTGGTACAACATTTTCATGTGTTGGCATTTTCCAACGCGGTAAAGTTGAAATTATCGCAAACGAAGTCGGTAACCGCATCACTCCATCAATCGTTGCATACAATGATGGCCAGAGGTATGTTGGTGACTCTGCTACATCATATCTTATTTCAAACCCATCAAATACTGTTTATGCTGTTAAGCGTCTTATTGGTCGCAGATTTAACGATAAAGAAGTACAATCAGAAATTGGTCGTCTTCCATACCACGTCGTCGAAAAGGATGGACGCCCATATATCGATCTCGAAGTAAAACCTGGAGAGAGAAGATTGGTTTCTCCTGAAGAAATCTCCGCAGGCGTACTCACAAAGATGAAAAATGTCGCTGAAGATTACCTTGGCCGCACTGTAAAGGCTGCCGTCGTTACAGTTCCAGCTTATTTCAATGATGCTCAACGTAAAGCTACAAAAGATGCTGGAGCTATCGCAGGTCTCGATGTTAAGCGTATTATCAACGAACCAACAGCCGCTGCTATCGCTTATGGTCTTAACAAGAAGGATAATCAAAAGATTCTTGTTTTCGACTTAGGCGGTGGTACATTCGATGTCTCATTACTTTCTATTGATGACTACTTCTTCGAAGTTCTTGCTACAGCTGGTGATACCCATCTTGGTGGCGAAGATTTCGATAACAGAGTTGTTGACTACTTCATGGATGTTTTCAAACGCCGCACAGGCAAGGATGCCTCCAAGGACTCCAAGGCTCGTGCCAAACTGAAGCGCGAAGCCGAAAAAGCCAAGAGAACATTATCATATTCTCATCAGACCACAATTGAGATCGAAAACTTCTTCGATGGCGAGGATCTCTCCGAAACCTTCAACCGCGCTCGTTTCGAAGAACTCAACCTCGATCTTTTCCGTAAAACAATGGAACCAGTACAACAAGTCCTTACAGACAGTGGCCTCTCCAAGCACGAGATAGACGAAATCGTTTTGGTCGGAGGATCCACTCGTTTACCAAAGATTCAGCAATTAGTCAAAGATTTCTTCAACGGCAAACAACCATGCAAATCCATCAACCCCGATGAAGCTGTAGCATACGGCGCCGCTGTCGAAGGCGGTATCATATCTGATGACCCAGATACAGCAACAATTACTATTATTAACGTTAACTCTCTCACTCTCGGCATTGAAACCATGGGCGGTGTCATGGCCGAACTCATTCCTCGTAATACACGTATTCCTGTCAAGAAGACCCAAACATTTACAAACGCCCAAGACGATCAAGAAACAGTACGTATCCAAGTCTTCGAAGGCGAGCGCGCCATGACACGCGACAACCACTTCCTTGGCGCATTCGATCTCACAGGACTTCCTCCAGGCCCAAGAGGATCAGTTCAAATCGATGTCACTTTTGAACTTGACCAAAACAACATTTTGAAGGTTACAGCAGAAGATAAACAGTCCAACAACAAGGAGACAATCACGATCGATCCAAAGGACAACAGAATGACAGAGGAAGAGATCGAGAAAGCCATACACGATGCAGAAGACAACATCGTCAATGACCAACAAGAAAGAGAATCTGTACAAGCAAGATTATCTCTTGATTCAATGATTGCTGCTGCTAAGAACAACTTGAACAAGGATGAGACAAAGGACAGACTTTCTAACGAAGAGAGAAGGTCCTTGAAGAGAATCATCAAAGAGGGAGAAGACTGGCTACAAGCAAATCCTGATGAAGAAGCAGAAGTTTACAACGACAAGAAGAAAGACTTGCAGCAGTCTCTCGCACCTCTTTTGACTGATCAGAAGTCTAAGATGAATATGGATAAGAATGATGATGAAGATAATGATGACGATGACGATGATGATGACGTCGATGATGACGAATTCGGTGAAATATAAAGAATTTTTTTGAATTTTATGTTAACTTATAATTATTATTTATCATTATATAGTTTTCACATAGATTTGAACATGTATTATTATCATTATATAGTTTTCATATTCATTTGAACATGTATTATTATTTATCATTATATAGTTTTCACATACATTTGAACATGTATTATTATTTATCATTATATAGTTTTCACATACATTTGAACATGTATTATTATTTATCATTATATAGTTTTCACGAACACTTGTGCATGTATTATTATTTATCATTATATAGTTTTCACATACATATGAACATGTATTATTCTCATTATTTAATTTTATCTTGTTTGAGAGACATTTTGGCATAGTTGAGAATCAGAAGCTAATTATAAGTTTGAAACTGTACGCTAATGACAATTGCATATTCATCTATGCTTGGATACCTTAATAAAGAGTGAAATGGTGTAAATTAAAAAAATTGTATGATGATTGTATGATGTTCTGAGCTTTAAACGCATTAATTACATATTTATTTATCAATTTTAATTTTGGTTTTGAGTAACATTGAAATCATGTGCAACAATGAGCTTTCATAGGGTTCTTGTAAGCAAATATACTATGAAATAGAGTGGTATGAAGTTCTCGATATAAAGTATATGTTAAAAAGTATGCTTTAATAAATATAATATTTTATTTATGATAACAAGTAGCTGTTGATATCATGACCATGAAGAATTAATATATGGTTACATCTCATGCAGTTAAGGGCGAACCTGTGTTTGCAGTTCGTTTTTCAACGACTTCGATGTTAGGTTGTTCGATTTGAGATTCTTTTTTATCAGAAACATCTGTCTGAGTGTCTAATAATGAGATTTCTGCAGAATTTTGTTTATTTGTGAGATAATCATAACCGTCTTCTTGACCATAAAAATAAGGAGGAGATGGATCGATTTGACCAAAAAAGAATTCATTCTCATCGAAAAGTAATTGATAATATTTTGTATTCACGAATTCTGGATAAACTTTATCATGATATTTATCCCAAATTAACTTAATACATTTTTGAATGCAGTCCATGAGTTCATAAATATATTTAGTAAGGATAAGGATGCTTTCATTTAACTTTTCTTCAAAACAGAATTTGAAATGCCTTAAGTAATATATATTTCGAACATGTGTTTTGTAATTTCCAAGAAATGGCTGGATATACTTATTTACTTCGTTGGTAAGATTAATAAATGTTTCTAGGACTGATGAAATTTCTTCTTCTGAAAATTTTCCCAAATCTAAATATAATATCATTCCTATGAAGAAAAATCTTGAGACCGAGTAGTATTTGAAAAGGTCTCTATTCGAAATAGTAAAATCTATTGAATTTAACCATTGTTGGGCATCCATGACTTGACTTTGATAATGCTTTGATACATGCAATGGATATGAGCACCTGTTGGCAACGCTACGATGTAAACATGCGTTTTCTTGCGTATAAGCATTTTTATGATAATCACTAAGGATCATATAAAAATTTTTGGCACTTTTAAGGGTGCGTCAAAGATTCTCAATTTTTCTATGAGTTCTCTCAAAATCAAAAGTTTACATGAAATGATTTTTGATCAATATCTCAATGTACAAATGCATATCATCTAGTTAGTTCAAAGCCTCATGCATCTATACAATATAATATGATACCGCAAATTCGTAATTTTATTATCAATGTGAGCATTGATAGAGAAACATTCTTTATAGACCCTTTCATAAAGGAAGAATTATTTTGGATAAAACAGTCACAATTTTTTCAAATGATAAATACTGAATAAAATATATTTTTATCTAATATTTCTAAATTCTTAATATCAAACAATAATTTTTTAATGTCATTTTACCAAATTTATGATTATGAACAAGCTTTGCATTATTGTCATTCATACAAGGAAATATTATATACATGAAATATCATATGTCAATGATCAAAGTCACATTCTATTCTTATATACTGGTAGGGGAAAATTGTTCTTATAATCCAGAAAATTATGAGATAATCTGATAGTATTAATTGCTGAAAACATTTTAGCTCATGTATTGAATTGAGTGACTTCTTGTATTCTCAAATTCCTTGAAAATAGGTTTTTTACAACTACATTTAAGAGTCTAATGATCTGAAGATATTTCAATACTTGATTATTTCTTGCATATTTAGTATTTTTATGATTTTTTCAAAATCTTCCTTTTTACCATAATAATAAGGAGTCTTGAAATCCATTTCGCCAAAAAGATAATCTTGATCGAATACATCTCTATAATAACTGGAATCAAAGAAATCTGGATATACTTTATCTTTATAATTTTCCCAGATTTTCTTGATTCCTGATTGTACGCAACGAATGACAATACTAAATGTTGCAGTAAGCTGGATGATACAGTTATTTAGTGTATCTATATAAAAGTAGGAGAAAGGACGACAATGTTTGATAGATACTGCTGGTAGTTCATAATCTCTGAGGAATTGATCAACTACTCTGTACACTTGATTGGATACATCAGAAAATGTATCAATACATTTTTGCTTTTCTTCATCTGAAAATTTTGCTAAATCCAAATAAAGGATCATACCTTCATACAAATATTGAGCACGATGATAGTAATCAAAAATCTTTCTATTCGATAAACTGAAATTTATTTTCTCTAAATATTCTTGCGCATAAAGCATTTGTTGAGGAAATTCTGCAGAATTATAAAGCTGATATAAGCATTTACTTGCTATGTTGCGATAAAGTTCATAGTTGTCTTTTCCTTTAGCAGCCAAATGAAATTTATCAATTAGTATTTAAAAAATAATTTTAAAATTTTGCAAATTGAATTAGTGAAACGGTTTTCAATTTGGCGAATAATATGAAATCCATGAGTTATGTTGTAAGCGGAACAAAATTTGTAAAGTTCACAATGTGACACAATTTTGTCTGTTCAGAAAATCCGTCATAGGATCCGATATATCTACTATAATTTGACCAAATTTTAAAAATTCATACCTAAATAAAGAATGAAATGTTGTAATTTAAAAAAAACTTTTAATATTATAACGTAGAGTGACATCAAGTTCTTGATATGAGGCATATGTTAAAAAGTATGTTAAAATACATACAACTTTTTACTCTTGATATTGGTAATAAATATGATAATTCCAACATTTGATTGTTTGAGAATTAGTTTTTCATTAACTTTTGGTTACTTCTCAAGCAATCAAGGGTGAACCTATGTTTGTAGTTCGTTTTTCAACGATTTCGATGTTAGATTGTTCGATTTGAGATTCTTTTTCATCAGAAACAGATGTTTGAGTGTCTAGTAATAGTAATTGTGGAGAATTTTGTTTATCTGTGAGATAATCATAATCTTCTTTTTGACCATAAAAATAAGGAGGAGATGGATCGATTTGATCAAGAAAGAATTCTTTCTCAATAAAAATTGATTTATAGTAATCTGATTTCATGAAACCTGGATAAACTTTATCATGATATTTATCCCAAATTAACTTAATACATTTTTGAATGCTATTCATGAGTTCATAAATATATTTAGTAAGGATAAGGATGCTTTCATTTAACTTTTCTTCAAAATATGAGTTGAAATGCCTTAAGTAATAGATTCTTCTAACGTGTGTTTTGTAATTTGCAAGAAATGGCTGGATATACTTATTTACTTCGTTGGAAAGATTAACAAATATTTCTAGGACTATTGAAATTTCTTCTTCTGAAAATTTTCTCATATCTAAATAAAATATAATTCCTTGGTAGAAATAGCATGCCCTTGAGTAGTATTTATCAATATCCCTATTCGAAATCATAAAATTGATTGAATTTAACCATTTTTGGGCATAATAGACTTGACCAGGATAATGCGTTGCTTCATGCAATGGATATGAACACCTGTTGACAACACTACGATAAAAATATGCGTTTTCACGCTTTTGAGCATTTCCATTATGATCAGTAACAATCATTTCTAAAAAAATTTGGCACTTTTTAGGGATACAAATTTAATTCAATTTCTGTATCGTTCCTTCGCTTTTTGCAACCTTACATTTTGATTCCAAAAAGCCAAAATTAATTACATAGTCCGATATAATGGGCCATTAAAACTTTACTAAGTAAAATTTTATGATAATGGAAATAATTCGGAATAAATTTACATTGTAGAGGCTTGATTTCTGATTCATCTTACAATTTATCTTATCTCATTTATGGTTTTTATAGAACATCTTATCTTATCGGTGTTTAAGATAAAGATCTAAAGTAAACATCCTTGACAAGGAGGAATTTAGTAAAAATTTTTGAGCGTAGTCAATTTCCTTGTGTCTTCTGTCTCCATATGTTGAAGAACCAATTTCATTTGCTAAAAAAAATAAATGATTTTACGAAATGCTTAAAGATGCTTTTTAAGAAATCTTATTTCTAATTCATTATTAGACAGTATGTTCTTCACAATTTCATTTAAGAGTCTGAAGATTGGAAGATTTTTCAGCAGATGCAGGTGGCCCCGAGTTTTTTTGTTTTATGAGCTTTTCAAAATCTTCCTTTTTACCATAATAATAAGGAGGGTTGAAATCCATTTCGCCAAAAAAGAAATCACCATGGTCGAATACATCTCTATAATAGCCGGTATCAAAGAAATCTGGATATACTTTATGTAAATAATTTTCGAATGATATTTCCTGATTGTACGCATCGAATGATATTAGAAATATATGTGGTAAGCCTGATTATACAGTTATTTAATATCTCTGTATGAAAGATGGAGAAAGTACGCCATGCTCTGATATTCGATGTTGTTAACATGCATCTTTTGAGGAATTGATCAACCATTTTATATGTTTCATTGGATACATCAGAGAACGTATAAATACATTTTTGCTTTTCTTCTTTTGAAAATTTTGTTAAATCTAAATAAAGGATCATACCTTCATAGAGACGCTGCGCACAATGATAGTATTCGAAAATGTTTCTATTCGATATGCTGAAATTTATTTCTTCTAATTTTAATTGGGCCAAAGACATTTGTTGAGTAAATAATACAGCACTGTAAAGTGAATATGAGCACTTGCTAGCAATTTTGCTATAAAGTTCATTGTTGTCTTTTCCTTTAGAAGGCAAATGGTACTTATCAATTAACATTTAAAAATTTAAAAATTTACAAAATTGAATTTCCAATTTTCTAACATTTTTCTGTAATGCTAGAAAATACAATTCTTGTTAACTCGCAATCAAAAATTATCGGATTTTCTGAGTAACCGCTATCTTCTGCATAAAAAATCATTATAACATGTACGTATTTATAAATTTAAAGTTGGTATGATAAACTGTCAAAATAATTATCGTGTGTAAGAAAAGTGACATATTTTTCTATGGTAATTGAAAAGGCAATTTTCGCATGCGGTTGCTTCTGGGGTGTCCAATATCTCTTCAGCAAGTTCAAGGGAGTTAAACACTCCGTTGTAGGCTATATTGGCGGGCATAAAGAGAATCCAAAATATCCAGAAGTTAAGGCTCATACAACTGGACATGCCGAGGCCATCCTCGTTGAATATGACTCAGAAGAAGTTACTTATGAAGAACTTTGCAAGTTCTTTTTCGAGATTCATGATCCAGCTCAAACTGATGGTCAAGGACCAGACATCGGTCCTCAATACCGCAGTGAGATCTTTTACATTGGCGAAAGCCAGAAGGAAACTGCTCTTAAAGTTATTGAGCTTTTGAAATCCAAAGGTTTTGAAGTCAATACTAAAGTTACAGAAGCTACAAAGTTCTGGGATGCCGAAGATTACCACCAGAACTATTATGATAAGAATGGAGAAGAACCATATTGCCATAGAAGAGTGAAGAAATTTTAATTCGGCAAAAAATGGTTTAATATAACTTATATATAGCATCTGAATAAATCTTGCATAAAATCTATTTTATATGTGTTTACAATCTTCTTAATCTTGTTTTTTTTATACAATTAACGTTATGAAATGTAAACATAGAGAATTCTGTGGATATATTTGAATTGTAAAATCTCCATAAGTACATAATTGCAGAATATGTACCTCATAAAGACTTAGATACATTAAATTTTGCCAAATATGATTTTGGGAGCTCTTCTATTATCAATAATCATATCTGATATCAGTGCAAAGAACATAATTGTTATAATTAATAATAAATTCAGCTCCCTGCATCCCAGGATGAAGCACAATAAAGAATCATTAAAATCTCATGAATGGATCAATGCATCTTTAATTAATTTAATTTATTTGAATTCTTGTCATATAGCATATTAACGCCCCTATTTATAAAGATGTTTCATTGAGTACAAGAAGGTCAAAAGACGTTTAGCTTCAAAAAATGAGTCGGAACTCAGCAAGAAATAGCTCCGCTCATTTTTTGGCACTACGCCGTAGACTTGATGCAATGGGATATGCTGATTATCCATTAGGTTTAGATTCTGCTCCTTTAGCACAGATAATGCTCGAAGATTTAGTTGCAACAACAGAAGCTCTTAGAGAATCAGAGGAGAGTAATGATGGTGTCTATCATAAACTCGAAATAGCAGAGCAATTATTGGAGCCTTTACAAGAAGAAAACTCAAAATTAAGAAGAGATAACACACAACTTCATAAAGAATTGATTTCTGTAGGTGAAGAGTCGCTTAAATTACAAAATAAACAAGCTACTACTCAATTCCAGCTCCAAGCTGAAAATCGAAGATTAACCTTATCTAAACAACAGGTTGAAGAACAATTAGACTTAGCTAAACAAGATTTAATAGCAGCCAAAGTGCAACTTGCTCAAGCTTTGGAGCCAACAACATCAAAAATCAGTTCAAGAGCTCCAAGCGAAAAATCTAGAAGAAAATCTTCTTCAAAAGATTCGATTTCTAATATAAGCGCTTCTAGCTTCTTAAGTACTAGTCAAGTTGACGTTGATGCAGTGCCAAAGGCAGAATTTGATCAACTTACAAATGAAAATGATTACTTAAAGCAACAAGTAAATCAATTAAGCAATGCATTAGAAGAATCTAAAGCCTGTGTTAAGCTAAGAGATGAAGAAATTGATCGACTTGGAACTGAATTAAATAAAGAAACTGGAAGAAATGGATTCTTGATTACGCTTCGTCATAAATGTCAAAAGGCTGAGGAAGAAGTTGAAAGACTCCGCACTCAAGTTAGATTGATTAATCCTTCAGGCATTGTTAGACAAGATAAGTCAGATAAGAAGACAAAATCACCTCGTAAACCAAAGCTTCAAATAGCAAAGCCAATTGGAGTTGATATTCAGCTCACGAATTCTGAAGATTCTAAACCGCAAATTCCACAAATTCAAAATATCAAGCAAGACAATGATCTTGTGGAATCATTATTAGCTAAAATTGATCAAAAAGAGTCAGTAATAGCTGAATTAACTTCAGCACTTGCTTTTGTCGGTGATAATCTTAATCGATCAATGTTATCTGATAAAAATAACAATATTTTATCAGATATTGAGGCCAAAATGCGGGACATGCAAAATCATTATGAGCTAGAAATCGAAAAGCTCACAAAACAGCTCAATCAAAACGGATTTTCCTCAGTTGACCCAGAAGTTGCCAAATTAATGGCTAATACTTCCAATCTTGATAATACGTATAGTGGAAAAGATAAAAATAGTTTGAGAGAAATTGAAGATCTTAAAAGAAAACTTAATGAAGCAAATGAGAAGCTCAGAGCCAAACAAGATACAGATAGTAAGTATCAATCCATCCTAGAGCAGCTTAGGAGGGAACATCAGGCGATGAAAAAGGAAATTGCTCAAAAAACAGCAGAGTTAGAAAAGTACAAAGGAGTGCATTCTTGAATGTATATATTATTGTTTTGCAAAGTAAAAACATGTTTGTAATTTATTAATTAAATATTTGTTTTAATTTATCGATTTTCTATAAGCAGAATTTATAATATCTGTAAGTTTATAGCGTTTTGAAGCAAAAAAAGCTCCTAATATTTGATTATATTTGATTTAATACTAGAATTAGGATAAAATGATCAAAACATAATAATATTTGTATTACATTTCATTGGCAAGATACGTTTTAGAGGATTGATACATGTTAAAACTAATAAGATAAAGAAAAACGAGTTTAAAATAAACAAAACATAAAATACAGTCTTATATTTCTTATTTTGATAATAGAATGTAAGTACTGCTTAGAAAGGATAGTTCGTGAAGGTTAGATCTAAGTTCCATTAAAAAAATATATAATTTCAATTTGAAAAAATCGAGAAAAGTAGAATTAACTAGAAGGTTCTGTTATTTTTGTATCAGGAGCGTAGGAAGGAACAAGGAAAACTTCTGCAATGTTTGGTGGTACTTCGACGTTATTTCTTCTTTCGTTCCATTTATTCATTTCTTTAACTTCACGAGCTGCTGCTTTAATATCTATCTTAGATAGAGGGTCAATTTCCATACTTTTTCGAACCTCATAAGGTGTTCGCCTAACAGGTCGTGGAGATCGAAGCGCTGGATAAGGATTATGTTCAGTAACATTGAAAAAGTCATCTTCTGGTGGATGAACGTCTTTTTTCATCTTTTTTGAAACAAAATTTCTTGGCGTGGCAGCAAAAACATACTTTTTCCTTGTTGCCGCTGGCATGAATACGTGCCCAAATAGATTCCTTGGACGTGGTGATACAATGTAAGTTCTCCTTTGTACTTGAGCCCTGTCAAGATCGAGTGAGAAATCCATTTTTTGAAATTTCTTTACAAGAAAAAAAAATCTAAAATCGTTAGAATATTAGAGCGATCTTTTCACACTCTTTATTTACTTATGATCGACCAAAATTACTATTTTCGTGATTTCTGTATCTTAAATATCTTTTGTTTTTAATAATACACAAACTTTCATTAAATTTTTTTAGTAGTATATGTGGACGGGTTGTGTGACTTTTTTTGTAAACGTAAGAATTCATACAATATTGAACGATTTTGTATCATTTTTTTTAACATATGAAGTAAAAAATGTAAGATTCTTACAGTTTTTATTCTTACGTTTTTGAATAAATCAAGTGTTGTAAACAGAAATTCATCAAAAGTGACACCTCAGAAAAGCTAAAATATTGAATTTTTGGAACTTTTGATAGAGCACGTTTTTAAATATTAATTAAAGTAAATGTATATTTTGTAAAGATTCTTTTTAATAAAAAAATAAAATTTTGAAGAAGAACACAAAATCTTCTGAAAAAGAATATCACATAAACTCATATTATTTTCTAATATATAACTATTTTATATAAAAATCAAATTCAATGATCTTAAAAGCGAAGGATAAACCTCAAAATTTACGAATATAATGAGTGGGAATATAATGCTTATCTATCATAAAACCATATGAAATATCAATTTTTGCTTTACGCCTATTCCCACTCATTATATTCGTAAATTTTGAGGTTTATCCTTCGCTTTTAAGATCATTGAATTTGATTTTTATATAAAATAGTTATATATTAGAAAATAATATGAGTTTATGTGATATTATTTTTCAGAAGATTTCATTCTATATGCCTATGAAAAGTACTCTCAAAACTAACTTTTTCCTAATTATAATTAAATCTAGAATATTGTATTATGCTTAGTATTATTTCATTTTTCTCATTCAATTTAGAATTTACAAATGTCAAAAAATTGAGAGCTGTCACTTTTGATGAATTTCTGTTTATTACAGTATAACAACTAATTCATTGAAATCTTTAAAGTTCACTAATTCAGAATTAGAAAATATTTTAGAAAATTTTGGAGACGGTTCTTATCCAACATATATGCAGAATGTGAAAGAGTTTTCCAGATTGTTGAATGAATTTAAATATAACGGACCAATTACTAAAAAGGCTATAATGAGATATTTATATCCCAAAAAAGTTGAAAAACAGGAGAATATTCCTCTTTATGGTCCAGAGGACCTGGGCTCAGAGAGCCTTGAAACACCCCCTGAATATTTTGAAGAAAAAATTAAACAAGATGAATATTATAACGATGAGATTGAGAAATTGGAACAATTAAGAAATGAAATAGATGAAAAAATTAAGGAATTGAGAAATGCTGAGAATGAAGTAGAGGGTTTAATGAATATCCCAGCTTCAGAATCAGAAGTTCAAAAATCACATGAGGAAAGATATAAAAATTACTTTTTGGAATCTACTAAAAATTTATTAGATGGTGATATTGACGAAACACTTTCAGAAGAAGGCACAAAATTTATTCATAAACATAAGTTACAATTTATTGACGATGGAGATTATCCATGTATATTACTTTCACCTCCTCTTGATTCTGAAAAATTCAAAAAAGCACTGAAAAATGTAACATATGCAACAAATACGATTAAGAAAGAAGACCATGATATTTACACAAATTATTATTTAAATAAATGTACAGGTGTTGATAAAGTTTTTGATTTGTTAGATAAAATATCAAAAGAAACAATTGGAACATATAAAATTTTATGTGATTGTGGTTTCATTATTGAAGATACCAATAATGTTTCATATGAAAGAACAGCACCGAAGGAAGACGAAGTTGAAAGGTCTATACCATTCGTTATTAAGAATATAAAAGATATGAAAACGTATAAGCATTATATTTATTCATTTATTTCAGAAAAAATGGAAGCAACCCATAAAACATCATCTCATCATTTTATAGCTATTCATACATTCCTTTTCAAAGTTGTGAAATTAAATAAGACAGGAATTAGATTTAATGTATCAGGGTACGCATTCTTGAGTAAATTAAAATGTATTCGTCACGTCGCAGATGATAAAAATTTATGTGTTCTTAATTCATTTTATGGACTTTAGCCCTGGACTCTCTGAGTCTCGGACTTTAAAAAAATAAACTTTATTTTTATTTATTTTTTAATTTTTATTCTTACATAAATGAACAAAAATGGAACAGCTAAAATGAATGATAATCAAATAAGAGCCGAAGGTAGAAGGTTATTTAAACGCTTCTATAACATTCCTGATGGTGTTAATCCTAAAACTCGTAGAAGTTATTTAAATGAAGCCATAGATGCATATGAAGGATTTGACATTTCATCAGAAAGTGAGAGGTTAGCAAGAATGTTAAATGTTAATATTGATTTCTATTATTGTGATCCTCAACCAGAAGACGTAGACATTAACAAGGTAGACTTTCCATTAGTGGATTCAATAATGATAGATCCAGAATTTGAAACAGTAAATATTTTATTAACACAGAGTCCATGTGGAAAACTTCACGCTGACAGAATAACAGACGTTGAAGCACTCACAGGATATAAAGTTTGCCCCTTTTGCAAAGAAGAAGTATATTCTATCCGTGATGATCCAGAAAGGAAAAACCAAAGAAGATTTTTAAAACATTGTGAGAAATGTAAAGAAAATAATGGAAGATTAATTCAAGACGTTCAATTGCAAAACACACAACAACCATATGCACCACATATTACGAAACAGAAGATATATCAATGGCTATTAGCACATAATTTGCAGGAATATTATAAACCAACAAGATATTATATTACTTTTGACTTCGAAACATTAGAGACTAAAGAAGAATTAAACTTTCTGAGTGTGCAACTTTGAACGCTTACTTAAAACCATTCATGGTATCATCAACGGTTAAATTAAACGATAAAACATATACGAGGAATTTTTGCTTAACTTCGAGTGATTCTTTTATTTCTGATTGGATTGAGTTTTTATTTTCAACCTGTTCATTAGTTGCTAAATCAAATATTGAACAATATGAAGAATTAATGAATACATTAAATGAGAAACAAAAGGAAGCAATGAAAGAGCTTTTAGATGAAGAATTTAATAAAGTGAATATCATTGGTTTTAATTCAGGAAAGTTTGATTTAAATTTAATTCTTCGTGATTTAAATACTGCAAAATGGAAGATAAAATCAATGCTGGGTTCTTCTTCTCAATTTAAGCAAGTCATAGTAAAGAAAACAAACTGTCCATATGAATTAAGATTTATTGACATCAGAAATTATATAGCGGGTGGAACATTAGACCAATTCACTCAAGATTTCGGAAACAATAAATCACGTGTTAAATCCTTTTTCCCTTATCAATTCATCACATGGGAGAATTACGAAGATGAATTATATAAAAAGGAACCATTCACTCAAGATTCATTTTATTCAGCATTAACACAAGAAACAATATCCGATTCAGATTATCAAATATATCTCAATGATGCTAAAAACTTTAAGAATAGATTAGAATATTTTATTCATTATTGCAATAAAGATGTTGAAATTATGATTGACCCAATTGATAAAATTATCGAAGAAACATTTGTTTATAAAATTGACATGCTTCATAATCTTTCTTTATCATCGAATGCATCAATGATTCGTTACGCGTTAGCATATAAGAACTTCAATCCTAACGAAACATATCCAGAAGAAGAAAATGTGGAATCAAGTTTTGAATTAACAAAAAAGTATTGGAAATATAAAATTGAATCATATAAGAAACAAGATGAAAAAGCGGAAAGGGATACTAAAAACAATGTTTCAATGGATGACTATCAATACTATCACGATTTAATCCTTTCATCTAAATGCAAAATGTGTGGTAAAGCGTTTACATATGCAAATAAACCAACATTGGATAGAATAGATAATGAAAAACCACATACCAAAGAAAATTGTCAGTTAATGTGTTGTTATTGCAATGTCGTAAAATCAAATAAAGATGAAGATGTTCAACGTTTAAGAATCAATTTAAGAAATTATGCATTAAAAAATAATTTACCAATGACTTTAGATTCAGTTGAAGCTTATCACATTCTCCGTAATGGAATTACTG